AATCAATCTTGTGAGAAAGAGACGCAGTCATGAGTAATTTTTTGTATCTCTCTAAGAATATGTTTGAATTATGAAAATTATAAGGATCGTAATAGCTATTTATAGTGGACAGCCATGTTTGAAAAATTAGAAAATTTCTTAATCTATATTATAAGTTTTAGCTTTTATCATTTAAATTATTTTTTGTTAATTTAACTATTTTAATATTAAATTTCTATTTAATTTTAAATGATACTATATTTTGGATATTCAACAAAATTTTCTTTTCTATTTTGAACTTATCCTGTTTTACACGCCCGAATAATGATCATGTTATAAATATTTACCCTGGAAAATACAGAAAATATTGTCTAATGTTAAATGATTCTGTGAAAATGCCAAATAATTCTTATAAAAATGCTAATTTATGAAATATATTGTTTTTTTTTTATAGACTCGAATGCAAATTGAGAAGAATCTTAATGCTAGACTGCTGTGTATTAACGATATGGAGGGTAAAGCTTTACCCAATTTTCCAAGCACCACTTGATCGAAGAAATGTTTATGTGAGCACGGATGGATATCCATCGTAAGTCTCCGTCGTCATTGTGAAATCAGGAAAGAAAGCTTTGTTACAAAGTTAAGCATTAAGATTTGGTAAATCAAAAGGAAAGAAATCAGTTTTGTTGTGGAAAGTGGGTATTAAGATCTAAAATCAAAGAGAGGCAAAAGGGTTTTCTTCGGTTGAGATATTCTGGTCAACAATGAAATAAAAAGAAAAATTAATTGATGGAGAATTTTTAAAAATTGAAAAATTGGTTGGTGTTATTTAAAGTGTTTCCATGGGCTTGAAACTAAAAAATATTTAAGCCAAATTTCTTTAAGTAAGAAAAATTAATCTTTTATAGATTATTGTCATTTTTTATATTTTAAGGAACTCGATTTAATTTTTAAATGGAGTTGTTATAGATTTCTTAAATTGATAATTGATAATGGTTATTTTTTTATACAAGTATTGTTAATTGTTTTTGTTGAACTTTTAAAATTTTAAACCATATTAATATTTTCTTATTTAATAAATATGTTGATTTGGATCAATCAGATTGAATTTAATTACTTTTTTTTTTGGACATAATTTGTTAAATTAACTTTTAATGTTTTAATTATACTTAACAATTTTTGGTTTGATAAAAAAAGCTGATGTGGACCAATTAAATCAGGTTTTTCTGTTCTGATTATACTTAACATTTTTTTATTTAATGATATGCTGATGTGGACCAATCAGATGGAATTTTTTTAACAAGTTTTGCTACGCGCGAGTCTGTATTAGTAGCTTGGTTTAATTTTTTGTGATCTGAATACTTCTACATTATGCAATTTTAAATATGGTGTTGAGAGTTAAATAAATCTTACTATCTAATTTAAATCAATTTTTTCCGTCATAATCATACTTAACATTTTTTTATTTAATGAATATGCTGATGTGAACTAATCAGACCGAGTTTTTTAATCCCATGTGGACGCCCTCAATGCACTATGCCATCAACTTTTATATATTATAGATTGGTAATGGTGGAATTATTTTAATTGTTAAATCTAGTTGTTGTAGATTTTTTAAAATTGATAATTGATAATTGTTACTTTTTTTTATACATGTATTGTTAATTTTTTTATTTAACTTTTTAATTTTTTTCAACCATACTAACATTTTCTGATTTAATAAATATGTTGATCTGGATCAATCAGATTGAATTTACTTTTTTTTTGTTAGACATAATTTGTTAAATTAACTTTTAATGTTTTAATTATACTTAACAATTTTTGGTTTGATAAAAAGCTGATGTGGACCAATTAAATCAATTTTTTCCGTCCTAATCATACTTAACATTTTTTTATTTAATGAATATGCTGATGTGGACCAATCAGATCGACTTTTTTTTAACAAGTTTTGCTACGCGCGAGTCTGTATTAGTAGCTTGGTTTAATTTTTTTTTAGTTACTATCTTTAAAATTATTAAAACCAAAATATATTTATTGAAATTTTTATTTATATAAGACAATTTAATAAATAATGTGTAATTTTCTCCTATTTTTATTTATATAATTTTAAAAATTCTTAGATAAAATAATAACGATGACACCTATCGAATTATCCAACTTTGACATACATATACATTTGATTTGCAAAAATATTTGCTTGCTAAGATTTTGGTATTGTTTGCTATTTTCCATAAAATTTCTATAGTACTTTTTTTTTTAAGGTTTATGTGTTTAAATATTATTTTTTTATTGAAAGTTTTACTGATGTTGTGTACCATTGCATATATACATGATTCATGTTGATTCACATTTATTTTGTTAGAAAGCTGCAATGATCATACAAAACCATTTCTTCCTTCTCCACCATGCCTTCCAAGAGTTATAGCTTATATTTTTTATTCAGTTTTCATTGATATCTATTTTTTTACAGTTTAATATTTGATAATTTTTGTTTTCTAACTTGTAGGATCAGTAATGTGGAGTCTTTGCATTATTTTTCATTGTTTTTATCTTTTGTGTGCAATATACATGCTTGATTTGAATATTTTATCTATATTTACCAATTTAAGTTTGATTCATAGCTATGTCATACTTTATTATTTAAATATAATTTTAGAATGTGTTTTTGATGTTGGTTCATATATAAGTATTGACTATATATAGAAATCATATTTTACTACTTGTTAAATATCGAGTGTAAAGTTATTTATATAATGTTTTTCTTTGTTAGTTTTTAAATCAAAAACATCAAGTGTATTAATCATTATATATTTAAAAATATGTTTGGTTTAGAAACTCATGTAAACCTATTGCAACTTTAAATAGTTATTCAATGTTGATACTAATACATTAGAAATCAGGAAGGAACTTTTTGAAACTAATTTCAAATTAATTTTGTTTTAATTTTGTTTTTGTCTTTTGATAGTAATTTTTTATTTATTGTAATTTATATATTTTTTGTATGTTTGATATACTCAGGACTTATATTATTTTTCTTAAACTCTTTTGTTGTTGATTTTCTATATAGGTATCATAGACATCACATGAATTTCTTTTATACAAATGCTTTTTCTTTGTTAAATTTGTTTTTTATATTAATTTTAATTCTAGTTATAATGCTGATTTGATATGCTCTAACTGTTGAATTTAAATCTTAAACGGATTTTTCTCAAATGCTTATAACATTATTTGTTTATTTTAGATAAGTTTTTTCAAAAACTTTAGCCCAAGTTAGTTTTCTTTTATACGACTTTTTTTTTGTTAATTTGCTTTTTTTTTATAATGATTCATAATTTTTTGAAACATAAATTTATAACATGTTGAAAGCTAATTTTTTTTTTAATAAAAACATGTTTACTTTTTCATCATACCATAATAGCTTTAAAACAGTTTGGTTTTATATCTAAAAACACAATAGGAAATTAAAGTATGATGAGGTAATGCATGTGATCGTACTTACCATGTTAAATAGTCAGTATAGTCAGTAGTTGCTTCAATATCTTTGTCAGAAAAAACCGGGTGGAAGAAATGGAGTGCAAAAATAATATTTTTACATGATGCAATTTAAAGTATGGTGTTAAGAGTTAAATAAATTTTATTATCTAATTTATTTCAAGATTCATCATATTTTCATAAAGAATAGTAAAACAATGGTAATTATATGTTTGAGATTACAAACCTTGAAATGTTTTTGGGTTCATAATTATGGCCAGGAACACGATAGGTTTGACAACACTTTTTATTATTTTTCTTTGGAAATTGGTGAAAGAACAACACGAACAATTGACCCACTGTTTAGAAAACATAAAAGGGTGCTAAGTAAACATAGATTGTATTCCAAATTAGAATATATAAATGAGTTGTTGGGAAAACATGCTTATCTTTTTAATTGCAAGTAAATATTTATTTTATTATGAATTCTACCATTGGTGATATCATTAGCTTAACTGGACAAAGAAAATTCTCGTCATTGATAATGATCAGTTTTCTAATAGCATCTACACAATATATGACGTTATTATTATATATTTGTATATGTGCAATGCATTATAAGTTATAAATTTTCTAATCTATGCTATAAGTTTTAACTTTTACGATATTAGTTTTTTGATTAGCTTGACTTTTTTCCATTAAATTTCAAGGGATTTTATATTTTGGCTTCTTACTATAATTTTCTTTTCTATTTGTTACTTAAGCTTTTTTCATTTATAAAAAGAAATTAATATTTTTTTATTTTCTTGTCAATTAATTTAGAAATTAGAATTTTCCAAATCTATATTATAAGTTTGAGCCTTTATGATATATTTTTTTTTTGTTAGTTTATCTCTTTTGAACATAAATTTCCATTTTATTTTGAAGGATACTATTTTTTGGTTTTTAACATATTTCTCTTTTCTATTTTTACTTAAGCCTTTTTATTCTAATTTTTCATTTATAAAATGAAATTAATATTTTAAATTTTGATGAATGCTATATTTTGATTTTTTTAACACAATTTTCTTTTTTATTTGTTGTTTAAGTTTTTTATTTTGATTTTTACATCTATAAAACGAAATCAATGTTTTTTTTTGTCAATTAATTTAGAAGTTAGAAGTTGTCTAATCTATATTATAAGTTTGAATTTTTATGATATTGGTTTTTTGTTAATTTAACTCTTTTGAAAACAAATTTCAATTTTATTTTTAAGGATACCATTTTTTTGGTTTTTAACATAATTTTCTTTTCTATATGTTATTTAAGTTTTTTTATTTAATTTTTCTATGACTAAAACGAAATTAAGATTAATCATATTTAATATTTTTCTTATTTAATAAAAAATGTTGATATGAACTAATTATATCAAATTTTTTAAGAGGCATTTTGCATCAACTTTTATTAGTAATAGATAGATGGATTTGAAAAGCATACGTGATAGATTTTATCAAAAAAAAAAAAAGCATACGTGATAAAAGATTACTTACAAATTTCCATATAAAATGGTTTAACTATCTAGTCCATATACTCTAATAATTTCGAAAAAAAGAGATTTAAAATAAACATCATATTGTCGTATTAGAGATGTTATAAACCTAATAACCCAAACATGTTTTTTTGATTTTTTCTTTACATATTGAAAGAAAACAAGAAACCAAAAAAGAAAGAAAAGTGTAATAAACAAAAGAGCCTCAAACGAAACTCTTACAACATAAACGCAATCGCTTTTAGCCGCCAAAAGTAAACCGGGTCTTAGCTTTTAAGTCTTTGGTTTAGAGTCTGCAACTTCATCAACGGTTTCAATCCCATTAGGTGCTTCTTCTTCTTCTTCTTCTTCTTCTTGAGCTTTGCGTTTGCACCAACAAAAGTATTCCGGAACAGCTCCATCTTCTCCAGTGACCCATGGATGCTCCGCCACATCTTTCAACGTCATCCTCTGCTTCGGGTCTGCCACAAATGAGCAGCGTGAGCCACTTTACACACAAAAGACTCTATCTTCATTATTCGAACTTCAAACTCATATAGATCATAAAGGTCCATGAATGCTTTTACTAAATCACCTTTAGAAAGAAGACCATTGATCAAGTCCTTGAGATTATCTTCCAGCCCATCTGGGATTACCAACGAGTTGTGAACAATCTAACATTATTCGTAAAACAACAAGACATTATAAGATTGCCTGTAAACAACAGCAGCAGAGAGATAACGAGAGAGATAGCAAGAGAGAGAGAGAGCAAGAACCTTGTCATAAGTATCTTGAAGTGTCTCACCCAGAAAAGGGTATTGTCCTAATATCATACAGTACAAAGTAACTCCCACTGCCCAAGTGTCTGCGGCTCTGCCACTGTATGTCACACCTAAGCAACATTCTGGTGCAGTGAAGACAGGAGTCCCTGGAGATCTACGGAGTTGATCATCATCATCCTTCATCAAATGTATAATGTTCGATCATGTCACATTAGATAGTAATGGAGATGAAGAAAGAAAAGACTAAAGATGCGATTTTTCAGTACCTTGAATACTTGACTGACACCGAAATCTCCGATCTTCACAGTCCCGGTACTAGTAACCAGTAAATTGTCGGGTTTGATGTCCCCGTGAATTACATTCTGCATAGACAAAACAAAGACGGTAAGGAGAAAAATCATGAGGCTATCGGATAAAACGAAAGCGCATACGAAGAAGAAGTATTAGTCAGTGAAGATTCATACATGAGAATGAAGGTACATGAGGCCAGCAACTACATCTCGAAAGTACTTTCTAGCAGTGTTCTCTCCGAGAGCACCAGGTGGTCCAGAATCATCATAAGCCCATTTTCCATCAACATATTCAAGAACTATACACAAGAAGTAACAAAAAATTCACCAAGGAGAAAGAATCGAAGTAACAAAAAAGAAAAGGAAAAGAGAAAAGACATACCCATGTAAAAGTGATCAGTCTTAGGGTCATCTATCACCTCAATGAGATTAACGATGTTCGGATGCTCCAGGGTTTTCATTATCTTAACCTAAAATGAAAACGCATTACACAGGTGTAGTAGACCTACATTGTACCGAGAAAGGCAACTTGAGGAGTTCATGATTACCTCACGAAGAACATCTCCCATAGCAGTTTCTGAAGGTGCAACGCGTAGTCTCAACAAATGTGATTTGTGAAAAGCCTGCCAAATATATAATCAACACATGTCCAGAAAGTTTAATCTCATCATGATCAACTAAATAACTTTTTCTATAATCTGCACTATGGTGATTCAAAATCCCACTGAAAAAGTATCATAGAAGTCCAACCATACAAAACTGATGCTTACAAGTGGTGCCGTGGAAGTGAAAACAATAGTATACCTTAAGAGCATAATCCTTTCCATCGACAGTGCTCTGATATAGAACCTGTTATATGTACATAAAAACACAGCGTTATGGATTCTATAACCCTTTTTGTTTCCTTTCTTGAACCTATTCATAAGGAAATAAGTTCAAGAAAGGCAAGATAAAAGTGTTAAGCATGAGCCTTAAAAAGACCCATATAGTTTTGAAACTTGTTTTCCACACTTACTACTTTTCCGTAGCTACCAGATCCAATTTTACGCTGACGAACAAACTCATTAATTGTCTTGTTTCCATCTTCATCCTGTAACTCAAGCAAGAAACAAATTCGGTATTCGCACACTATACCATATACAGCAGGATTTGAGTTTGTTTGGGAAAGCACAGTGGAGACATGAGCACAAGAAGTCGCATACCTCTCCGCGTATAAGTTTATTAGTTTCCTTCACAGGAAACTGCCTGCAGATTAGCCTATTTTGTAACTTATAATTCAGAATTTCTTCAGATCGTTTAGAACGGCTCTGCTGCTTCACTTCCTCTTCTCCTTCTCCTTCTCCTTCTTCATTTCCTCCTGCGTTGCTGGTTACGTCACCATCATTGGAATACATATCATCATCATCATCAACATCATCATCATCATCATCATCATCGTATGGCTTTGGCGGTTGTTTGGATCTCTCAGAGCAACCAAAGCACCCAAAGCAACCCATCGCTTGGGCAAATGAAAAACTATCACGTAACATTATCAACTCCAGAAAGCTATGAAATCTCTAGTTTTGTTGTCGCTAACAAATCCCTGAAAACCTGTAAGAAACATTGAAGCCATAATCAAAAACCTGAACAACACCAAATCTACTTCCGTAAAGATCAAAACTTTAAGCAAAAGATCAGAACAAAACCAAAAACCCAAATTTTACTCTGCAAAAAGAGGTATCTCGAGGGCTTCAAAGCCCGATAAGCGTCGTTATTCCAAAGGGTGCCATTCACCCAGATGAATGTAACTTCTTGAGATATCGAAGCCACTACTAGTGAAACTCAACATTTCGAAGCCACACCTTATAGTAAATATGTATTGATCTCAACTCTTCCCCACAAGCAACTTCTAATAACTCTCATATGAGACTCCAAGCTTCTGCAAAACATAAAGGCGAGAACTTTCGATTAAATTCGCTGAAATGCATTCAAGGTCAAAACTGAGGTAAATGATTAAAGTTCCTGACGAAAGGGATAAACTTTTCCCAATTTACAGGCACGAAAGTGAACATATATCCATTGAAATCGACATTCTATACAAAACCCCTCACATATTATGAACGATGACAAACATTTAAGAAAACCCAATTAGGGTTCGAATAAATGCCGTTCAAATCAGAAACCCAATTAGGGTTCGAATAAATGCCATTCAAATCACAAACCCAATTATGGCCTAGGCGAGAAAAACCCTAATTTCGCTGACGATGAGCAGGTAAGCTTTAGAGAAAAAACACACACCCGAGAAAGAATATATATTCACAATTTCAAGGCGATCGGATAATTCGATGATGTGGAGAAGAGAAAAACAGTGATTGAGAGGGTACGAATGAAAATCTTACATTCAAATTGATTCGAATTCGTTTTCAACCAAAGCACATGAAGAAAAGAGAAAATTTGACATAAAACACCAATGTTCTCTCTCTCTCTCTCCGGGATTTGTTATTTCTTTTTTGTTGGCAACTTATTACTTTGGTTAAAAAGGAATATCAAACAAACATTACCAGCTAATAAGTTACCTAAAACGGAGTTTAACTTTATTATATTGACTGTATATATATACGTGCTGCGGATTATTTTTTATTTATTTGTTGTTATTTAATACTATACTTTGATAAATTAAAATATAGTAAAATGAATATTATATGTATATTTTTAAATATACACAAATATATATATAATTTTGTTTTAATTATGTCTTGTATCATAGTTACTATTTATCTAATTTGTTAGAGGGAAAATGAGTATATTTCCTAAAAAGTTTTTTCTCTAGTAATAACCTAAGTCCATCAGGACCCTGAAGATCGCGCCGACCTAACTCGGACTAAAGGAAATATTCTAAAGATAACCATCGAAGACCGGAAACATCGGATCAGCTCGAAGGATAAAGAAGAATTTCCATATTTCTCGGAGAATAAAGAATATTTTCATATCGCAAATATGGAAATATTAACCGAAGGCAAAAAAAAAAAAGGAGTTCGGAGCAACCGACCTCCTATCCCTATAAATGAAAAGGATCTTGAAGCCAAGAATAACAACTCATACATTCTAGAGAGCATCAGAGCTAATCCCAGAGACTCCAACGCTTTCTAGTTTACTTCACAAAACACCCCTTTCACTTCGGCATAACCTCTCGGTTATACATTTCATTGTAATCGCTTCGCTTACTTGCTATTAATAAAAAGATCTTATTCTCCAAAACCCACAATTGTTAATCAAACCCTAGTGGTGATTTTCTGGTTCAACAGTTGGCGCCGTCTGTAGGGAACAGGAAAATAAATTCTTGAAAAACTAGCAAACAAAAAGCCGAAGCAATGAGTCTCCCAACCAATAACAGCGATCTCATCCTCAACGACGATACCACTACACACACCGAGACACCGCTCTTGGCTAACAAGTTAACTCAACCACCGCGAATCCACCCACGAGAGCGCTCCCAGCTCCTATCCTCGCATCCGACCTCGCAGCAGCGATCCAGGCTGCCATGCTCCCCCTCACGCAGAACCTGGTGTCCAAGCTGGACACCCTTCTGGCCCAATAAGCCAAGTATGATGAACAGCTCAGCGTCTTCGCGGCAGCAACCACCGCAAGATCAGGACCAATCGGACGTTGACTAATCTTCGAGACACTTGAGCAAGACGACGCCCGAGGAACAACACCGGCTATTGAGGAGCCATCAGAGGAGCTGAATTCTGAGATCACAAGGCTACACCAACGAATTAACGCAATCGGATCCCAAGTCCACCGAGCCACTAGCTCGGCACCCGAGATCTTGGCCATACTGTCAGATGCCGAACACAATCCGTTCGCTCCGCGGATCACCGATGTACGACTTGGCGAGGCGATAAAACTAAAGCTCCCGTACTACAACGGGATGGAAGACCCCAACTTATGGCTCACCGGATTCAACGTCGCCATGAAGAGAATGCGAGGCAAACCACTGCCAAACCTTTGTAGAGCACCTCAGCAAGGACGCTCTCAAGTGGTTCTCTAACCTACCTCCGGCATCGATCAAATCCTTCAAGGATCTGACCCATGCCTTCATCAAACATTATTCTATGTTCATCACGAAGAGGACGGTCAACCTATTCACTCTAGTGCAGGAACGTGACCAACCACTCCGCGATTTCATTGAAAAATTTAAGAACGCTGCCGCAGCTTACGGCCAAATCCCACAAGCCTTAGCCATCGAGGCACTTATGAACGGCTTGTGGTTCGAATCTTCCTACAAGGAAGATCTGCAGAAACACCCGAAGGAAACGATAGAAGACGCACTCCATCGGGCCCAGACCTTCATACGGACGGAGGAGGAAAGAACGTTCTACGCCAAGAAACACGGCATGGATGTGGCAAGCACCTCGAAAGACAAGGAGCCCACATACAAAAGCAAACCATCCTCTCACACCGTTGTAGCGACTGGAGAGAAGCCCTGGAATCAGTGGACCTTAGGAGATCCCCCGAGGAACACGAGCGATAAAGACGATAATCACGATCACTACTGCTTTTTTTACGGCCGAAGAGGACATGCTACCTCGGCTTGTCGACACCTCCATAACACGCTGTACGAAAAGTACAAAGAAGGCAAAATCAGCGTTAACGGTGATAGATTCCAAAACAAAAACTCCTATCCACGCAGTTCAGACGTCAGGGACTCGCGCCAAAACACCTCCTGCAGGGATCACCAGGATTTAGGGAAAAGCAGCAGCCGAGGCAGTTCTGGCGGACGTCGACGAAGTCGTTCGCTCGAGAAAAAACGCGAAGAAAAGGAAAAGGAAAAAGGAGCAGAGCGCCAGAACGATGAAGGCGAGCACGACAACCCACCCCCTCCGCCAAAGCGACGGGTTACCATGATCATGGGAGGACTCCCTGATTGCAATGATTCAGTTCGCGCCATCAAAGAGTATGGCCGCAAAGCAATCACGTCGCGAAATTTTCCTCGTCCGGTGGACTACCACCCAACAATCACATTCACATCGGAAGACATGCACGGGTTACACACCCCTCATAACGAAGTGGCTAAAATATTAGTGGATACCGGCAACACTGTCAACATCATCTTTAAAGATACGTTGACCAAGATGGGACTCCAGGACAAAGACATTAAGGCAGCACCAAAGCCTCTGACTGGCTTTGCCAGCGAGTCCTTTTTCAGCCTCGGCACCATACGACTCACGGTTTTCGTCGGTGGAGTGACAAAAATCGTCAAATTTACTGTGATGGATAAACCAGCAATTTACAACGCCATACTCGGCACACCTTGGATCCACGAGATGAAAGCTATCGTGTCGACTTATCATCAATGCATGAAGTTCGCCACCTCGGCCGGAGTTTTTACGCTCCACGGAATCAACATATGGCAAGATCTTGCTTCATTAGCGAGCGAAAAGTGCGATTCTCCGCGGTAAAAGCTCTCGAAGACGCTAAATAAGCAAAAGAAGGCTCAACAAATCTAGCTACTAATATTTAATTTTTCCTTTCAATAAAACCTGGCTTGGCCCCTGAGTGATACTATTCATTCAATTGTAATGAACTACGAACGGCTTGATCCTAATTTGGATACGTAGGCGACCTTCGGGTGCAGCTGTAAATCTAATAAAATTTTTATTCAGAAAATCAGCTCGGCGCATATAGTCATATTTCCTTATGCGAATGCATCTAGCTGAATCGAGTGTTCTGGCCAAACATTCAATTCGAAAAAGCAAACATCACAAATAAAAATTAGTGGTTGATCACCACTGCTTTGATACTTCGGCTTGATTTAATTACTTCTGAAGTGGATAAGAAGAAAGCCGAGGACAATACTTGCACGACCCTCGATCATACCTTTCAGGCCGAAGTGAATCCCGAAAAATTGGTATTCGATCTTGATCGTCGTTTGGTGTAAGACGGGCAAATGAATCCCGCTTCCAATTCCGAACTCAAAAATTCCATTACACATATAAAAAAGAGGAAGAATGAAGTAACTTTCATTATAAAAAAATAATAATAATAAGCCCTCTCAGGCAAAGTTCTTACAAAAGAAAGAAGAAAAATTAAAAGATACACACCGTCTAGCTCACTTTTGCAGGTTATCAATCTCTGATCTGCTCGGAAGATTAAGGTCCTCACTTGTAATAACTATCTCGTCGATAGCATCACTGGTCGCCTTCCACTTGATGAACTCCTTCTCGAAAGACGGAAGTGTCCCGGCAAGGAGCTCCCACCCTTTATCCTGCATCTTCTTCAAGAAGGCCACCATGTGGCTCATTTTCTCCACGCCAACAAGAGCTGCTTCCACCTCTTTGCGTTGAACCAGCGAAGCCTGAATCCGATCTAACCGCGGCTTAAACCAAGCGGTCATACTATCGAGAACTCTGTCAGCAGCACCTTGAGCGACCTCCTCACAAGACTTCTGAAGCTTTTCCTTTTCGGCGAGGAATCTCTGTAAGTTCTCTTTGTTCCGCTTTTCAAGAGACTCGTTCTGGGCTTGGAGAGCGGCGACCTGCTTGCGAAGTCGATTAGCTTCGGCCATCTCGCCTTTAAAAGTTTCAACAGTGCCTTCCAGCTGAGCGCACCTCTCCTTGAGAAGTTGGTTCTCCTCTCCCGCCTTTTTGAGCTCCTTGATCTTAGTAAGGCGGCGTTCAATATCATTTCCTCTTGGCAAAACTTATCGTCATACGCCGCGAATGCGGACATTTATGCTCCCAAGCCCTACATCACAGCCTGTTGTCAGAAAGCACGCAATAAAAGGGGGCACAACACATTCAAAACCAAAGAATAGTATAACCGAAAAATACCCGAGCTATCATTTGACTCGCTAAAGATATGGAATCCGCCAGCTTCATCTCTCGAAGTGGCTTACCCCATCGCGGCTTCTTCTTACACTTCCAGATAAGGTTCGCGGCAAACTCGCGATTAAGCATCGCCGGAGTAGTTTCGTCCCATCTCATGCAAAGATGATGAGGATTATAGTCAAAAGACTGCTCTTCTTGTTTGGGTTCGGCTGGAGTACTTGAATTGGCACCATCTATGCCAGCGGCCTTTTGAGAAGGAGCAACCTCCTCAGGAGCGCTAGGACCAGCATCTTCTGTGTCCGGAGTAACTTCGGGAGGGGTCGGCCCTTCAGAACGAGCCGCCTCGGACTCCTCGTTCCTTTCCTGACCTACGTCTTCTGCGACATGTGTCTCAAGACTTTGAAGCACATCTGTCTGAGGCATTGAATGAATGTTCTTTGAGGTGACAAAGTGACACCGGCCCGAGGCACCGAAGGAATAGCAACCTGAGGTAGGGAGGAAATAACCTCGCGACGGCTCCCGGCGGCGTCGGAAGCAACCCCGTCACCACCATCTATAACTCGAGAAGTAGGGGTTTGGGACGGTTCACCCTGAGAACCCCTCGCGGCTCTCTCAGTCCGTGCCTGCCTCAATCTCTCCAGCGCTGCCGCCCTAGAGAAACTTAAAAAAAAAAACAAAAACAAAAGCAATGTAACGTCAAAGATCTCCTCGGCACGATACAATAATATGCGAAGCCAGAAAAAGAGTTTACCTCGCAAAACTCTCGTTCTCAGCAGCCACTTCGGCATCATCGGAATCCACCAAGCTAAGTGGATCCTGGGAAATCATCCTCTTCTTCTTTACAGAAGAACTCGCAGGAGCATATGCGGCACCCGGCGAAGCCGCCTTCCTCTTCTTCCGGCCAGCCCCTACGGTTTTCGACTGCGAAGCCCTTCGAGGAGCTGAAAAACAAACACGTCAATAAGACCTCATCACCAAGCACTAATTAAAAACTCCTCAATCTAGCAGTCTACCTGGTCTTGGAGGTTTGACCTTCTTCTCGGTAGGTTTGGCTGTTTTCTTTTTAGCAGTCCCCTTTTTCTCCTTCTCGGCCCACAGCTGCCGGCTCAGATCGCGCAGCCTCTTAACATCGTCTTTAAACCCGATCGGGTCATCTCCAAGACGTATTGCCACTATCATAACAAATACACATTAGCATCCGGGGAGTAGCAAAAGGGGGGGGGGGGGGGGGGGTTAAAGAATATTCGGTTCGCCTTACATGGCGTCGATCTCCAAGTCTTGAATAAGGTGAGGTCGGAACTGCCGATGGATGCTTCGTTAATCTTCACAAAGAAGAAAAAACAATCCCATTCATGAACTTTACTCGTCGGATCCCCGCCGATGATTCCCTCCTTCATCGCGGTATAAAAATGGCGCCACCCGCCGCAACTCATCCTTCTCTTCTTCAGAATGGATATACTTTCAAAAATAACCCAATTAAAAGGAACCATTGCCGCGCGAGCTACCCGCCAGGCTGTTGAAGTGACGAATTACAGCATGAGAAAGCTGCGCCACCGGCATCTTCCTCCGTTCACAGTAACAGAGAAGTAGTGAAATCGGGAACTGAAGACCAAACTCTGCAAAGTGGCACTCGTAAGAACAGAAATAGCCTTCTGGGGGTGTGGTCACTCTCTCGTGAACTTGGGGAAGTAGAAGCTCGACCCCCTCTGGAAAACGGCACTTCGAGCGAAGCTCCTGGAGTCTTTCCGCAGTCATCCAGGTCCTCCCGTCTTTAATACCGGTCATATGCTTCGACATTGCGACCTTCTGCGGAAGACCTTTGATTCTGCTCTCTGAATCGAAGCTCGCTGGCCCGAGACCATCCAAGTCCATTTCAGAGTCCGCGTCAGGATGATCCGACGGAATCTTATCCCGATAACCCGAGGATCCCTTGGAGTTAGAAGAAGAAGAAGCGACTGGACTAATCCAAGCTCGCCTGGCACGGTTGGCGAGACAAATCTCGTCATCATCAAAAGAAGAGTTTGAAGACGAAGCTGACATTTTTGAAAATTTCTAAATGGATTAAAAGAACAAACGGAAGATCGGCAGAAAATAAAGAAAAAATTACCACAAAACAGAAGAAAGTTAAGAATTTTTTGGCGTAAGAAGGCAAAAAGGTATCTGGAGCAAGAAGACAAAGAAGTAAAATAATAAAATCTAAAAGAAATATCAACAGTTTCCTAAAAGGATTCGTGTCAAGATTCGCGCAATCTCGCCGCTTGGCGAACCCTCCGCCTTTCCCGCTTGAAAGCAAAACCCTAAAATTGGGTCAAAGTATTTAATAATTAAATTCTTGAAGAACGCCACGCGTCAAGTCCACTTAAAATCAGGCCGAGCTGGCCGTAGCGAAACAACGCTCTCGACGAGCTAAAGCTTATTGCGAGATCAAACCCATTTATAACTTCATGAAGTCCGCCGACCTGATTTACAATCAGTCTCGCCGAACTGGGGGGGGGGGGGGGGGGGGGGGGGGTGGTACTTACTGTTAGAGGGGAAATGAGCACATTTCCTAAAAAGCTTTCTCTAGCAATAACCTAAGCCCATCAGGACCATAAAGACCGCGCCGACCTAGCTCGGACTAAAGGAAATATTCTGAAGATAACCATCGAAGACCGGAAACATCGGATCAGCTCGAAGGATAAAGGAGAATTTCCATATTTCTCGGAGAATAAGGGATATTTCCATATCGTAAATATGGAAATATTAACCGAAAGCAAAAGGAAAAGGAGTTCGAAGCAACCGACCTCCTATCCCTATAAATAAAGAGGACCTCGAAGCCGAGAAGAACAACTCATACATTCTAGAGAGCAGCAGAGCTAATCCCAGAGACTCCAACGCTTTCTAGTTTACTTCACGAAACACCCCTTTCACTTCGGCATAACCTCTCGATTATACCTTTCATTGTAATCGCTTCGCTTACTTGCTATTAATAAAAAGATCTTATTCTCCGTTACCCACAATTGTTAATCAAACCCTAGTGGTGATTTTTTGGTTCAACACAATTCTTATCAAATATAGATGTAAGACAACATATCAAATAAAATGTGCTCTTTTATAATTCTTTAACTTCAGTTATTAGCGTAAAATTTATTTTAGTTTTTTTGATTCAAATTAGTTATACACTTATTATTTATAGTTAAAAAAAAATTATGTGCTCTCAACTAAATAAATGTATAAATCCTTTTTTATTTATTATTATTATTAAGCTAGTTTTCTAAATTATAAATATTGGTGACCATAAAGTGCAAGACTGCACCTAACCGAATCTCTTTCCACCAAAAGTATAATTCACCCTATTAATCTTACTGTTTTAAGATGGCACATCTCTAAATTGATACAAAGATTTACTCAAATGACATTCTACTTAATTTCATCATAATTTTGTATTTTCCAACCTAAAAAATGATCTCTCATCCATCTAGTTGTTTTTCTTTGAGACATGTCCAAAGTATTTAATTATCTACTACTTCTTGATTGAAGACTTTGTAAACTTGTGGATTCACATAGGAATATTATTTAGAGTAGTGTTTTGGACTTTAAAGTTTTGAACTTGAAAAGTAAAACCATCTTAACGTTAATTTATGCTATATCATTTATAATTTTTGTGTAAATACAAGGTTTATAAAAAAAATTATAATAGATGTTTTCTTGTGTTCAAGATGATATAAATGGTTAAAATGGTAAGTTAAGGTCGAATTAAAACACTAAGAAGCACATGAAAAATGTAAAACTATATTTAAATTGTGAATGTAAAACGTCAAGATTGCAATTAATTCTCCCATATATTTAGTTTGAATGGAGAATATCTTTTTAAACATAAAATTTCACAATAAAACTACTCTTTAATACAAAAATGTATTTATTTTACAAAAATCATTTTCATTAGTAAAAAAACTTTATAGTAATCTGTTTAATAACAAATAGAAATAACCAATATTCACTTAAGATATGTTCATAAATACTTGACATATTTCTATAGTTCTTACATTTAAAAATTATCATTTTGGGATTTATTCTTATTTTGTCTCTTTTGTGAGTTGCTATGTTATTTTAATCGTATAAACACTAATCTTACACATATAAAACCTATAACATCAGACACTATAGACAATTATAGTGTAATGATATGTCAAATTTAAAAAAAAATAAGAAGCCAATTAGAAAATGCTAAAACTTCCCTTTTTCAGTATCTTGATATCTCTTTTTTTTTGAAAAAAAAAGACCTCTTCTTAAACCAAAACCATCTCTCCATCATTATCATAGGAAACTATAATCATTTTTCAACATCTGAAGTGAAAAAGTCAAATAAAAATTCTGAAACTATGAGTGACATGAATTCGTCAAGTGACACAATTAGAGAAAAAAATTTAGTGAAATTATGCATCTCGTCATCTCTTGTGACGATTCTGTATCTTTTAGTCTTTTGAGACTCTGTTAATTGAGTAAGTAACTGCTTCATTAGATTTCTTCATTGTATTATTATTTTCAAGTGTTTCATTGATCCTTATTAGTCTTGGAAATTCTGTTCGGGTCAGGTAGTTCAGGTTTCAGGTTTTAAGTAGATGGATATAGGACCCGTTTTGAACCCGAGCATATTTCGGTTCTGGTAGTATATGGGTCGGGTCGGGTATTGTTATTACTTTGAGACCCGAAATAGACCTGAGAACAAATGAATTTCAAATTTAAGAACCGTTTGGACCCAGCAAAAACCCGAATAACACTATAGAGACCCGAAATACACGAATGGACTCAAAAATATTAATAAAACCCAAAAAAACAGAGTGAACTTTTTAAAAACAAACGATTAAAACATGAACATGCAATCCCAAATTATGAAAACTTACAAAAGAGAACAACATAAGTGTCAAATTTGAGTTATAAAAACATGAAAAAATATAAACATAACACAAAATATGATATAGCCATTCAAGTTTGAAGTTTCAATCAAAAACAAAACCCACAAAACATATTCTCTCTCATTAGAGTTTCTTTAACTCTTAGCTTATCTTCGTGGCCTATAGAAAAAGTTAATATCAAGCATCACAACATCATCAAAGTATCATACACTCAAGTCTTCAACGATTCATCAAGTCATAAAGTCATAATCGATTCATTAAGTCAGAAAGTCATAATCGATTTTTCAACAATTAAAAAATGATTGAATTCAGTGAATTTAGATAAGTACTTAAGGATCATACAAGCATCAAATCCAGAAATCATATCAATCCTAAGTCATATATGTTCAAATACTAAAGGATCATACAACACCGAGTTCTAATCTCATCATATTTCTCAATACATAAACGAGTCCTAATGTCATCAAATACAAGCATCAAGAAATGGTACCTTGTAAGCTGATAAAGAGCCACCTAAGTCATCACTCATCCAGATCCATTGTCTAGTGAATTTTTTTTTTTAAAAAAGTCAAAAGTGAGAAATACAAATTATATTTGAAAATAGACTTAAAGATGAGAGTACTTACTTCTTTTAAGTTCATCTTGCATTTCAATATCTCTAAGCAATTGTTGTATGGTAATTAGTCCCTTTTCAGTGAAGTGAATGCCGCACTTCATCCATTGCTCTGTGCACATTGGCACTTCAATCATATAATTAGTCAAACAACTTCTTGATGGCCTTAAAACCCGGCCACTCATACTAAATGCTGATTCAGATGCAACAGAAGACACTTGCATTGCAAGTACACCTCTAGCAACTTATGACAAACAGAGAATTTCAAACTATTGACCTTCCAGAAATTCAACACATCATACTATGTACCCAACATACTTGACTTCAATGAAACTTCTTCCTTCAAATATATTTATAACTCGGTGCTTGGATTGTCATTACCCATTTCGTTTACCATCATTTGATAGAGATGGTCAATTCTCTCATAACCGTTATCAATATCTAATTCCATTGAATCTTGCAGAGGCTCTTGTGACTCTTGCTCACTATAAGAGCTATATGCAGTCAACTGAGATGATGAAACTTTCACACGATTGCTATACTCTTGAAACAGATTTTTCATATCCTCCATGACTGAATCATACATCCATTTCAATTCTGCACTATCTTTACCATAAAATGTATCAAAACATCAAGTTGCAAACTTCATTTTGTTCGTAGGATCAAACACACTAGCTATGATCAACAGCCTATTGATTCCTTTTACTCCCTCCCAATATTTTTCAAAATTGTCTCTCATGCTAAATGATTTTTCTTTAACTCTTCATCGAGATTGTTGCTAAGATGAATCATGTTTATCTCAATAGTCACAATCTCATTGTAACAATTGTAAGACCCCACATAATTAGAAGCTGAAACTACCAAGGTTGCATTGTAAAAGATCACAAGAAATTGAACTAACCTTTCAACTACTTCCCAATCCTCTGTAGTTAGTGGTCCGATCCTTTTTTCCCTTCCAATTTCTCTAGAAAGTGATCATTGTTAGCATCAAATGTGTTGAATTCCACCTAGTTCTACAATCCAAATACAAGCTACCTCTTGTCATCTTTCCTGACTCAACCCAAACACAAAGAAGTTCACTCTTGTTGAAGAAGCTCTTACATAGTGAACATCATTCCAGATTGCAATGACATTGTTATTCAGTTCATGCAAGCCATCCTTGACAACCAAATTCAAGATATGAGTGCAGCACCGCATATGCATAAACTCACCATCTAACACTAACACATCATTTCCTAGTAATCTAAACCTATCCTTAAATATTCTCAAAGCAGACGTGTTGGCAGTAACATTGTCTACAATGATAGTGAAGACTTTTTCAATGCCCCTATCAGCTAAACACTCATGAAGAACTGAAAAAATGGTTGCACCGTTATGATCTAGAATATTGTTAAATCTAATGATCAGCTTCCTTAAGCGCTAGTTGTTGTCAATAAAGTGTGTTGTGATTACCATGTAGCTAGATGCATCAGTTGGAGCAACCCAAATGTCTGTCGTCAAAGACACCCTCTGCTTGTTCTCTTTAATCAGCCGCCTCATAGGTGCCTTCTGTTTCAAAAACATTTTCACAATCTTCTTAGTGGAAGTTCTCCAAGATACAGGCTTGAGAAGCTTGACCTTGTTGCAAAAGTGTCTCCAAGCTAAGCTTTCAATGAATTCAAGTGGAAACTTAGCCAAAACTATCAACTCATTCAACACATCTTTAACAACTGATTCATCAATCTTTGCCAATGCGATTGTTCCACTTCCATTATCACCATCAACATTCAAAACATGTTGCTCTTGAGATTGATTTTTCTGCCATACCATGAAAGACTTGCAGGCTTTAAGATGTTTACTCAAATTTTAAGTTCCTGATGATGTAGCACAGCTCATTATTCTCCCACAATAATGACACTTGCATTTGTCTTTATTCTCCTTGGTTTTCGTATTGTGATCCCAAACAGGAGACCTTTCAGGTACAACAACCTTCTTCTTTGCCTTAACCGTACGTGCTCTTCTATGGATCTCTTTTCTTTTACTTCTAGGACCAGGAATATGATTAAGTATAGGACTAGGAGACCCAGACCCGACATCATCTACTTCATCTTCAATCTCCTCATCACGGTTTGCTGAATTATTTTTGTCCGAAGCTGCTGATGAATCCATCTGTCAAACAAAAGTTACATTCTCAAATCTCAACTCAATAAACAAAAGACACATTCACATCAGTAAGACTAAGAGACTATAAAATTAAGAGGCTACTTAAGATCAGACATCAATGATTAACACAAGACACATTCACATCAGTAAGAAATAGCAGAAGAATGAGATCTTCGAAACCAAAATTGTAAAAAAAAAAAGTGGAGTTTACGAAACCAAAATTATAAAAAACAAAGAGGAATTTAGGTTGCAGAGAATAAGAAATTGCAGAGAATAAGAAATCACAGAGAAAGAAACAGAGTGGAAGAGAAGCCAAATCGCAGAATTATAGTGAAAGAAACAGAAAAAGTTGCAGAGAGAATAACAAAAAGGGTAAGCCAAATTGGTGAAGAGAGGAGAAAGCTCTAACCAGGGATTGATTTCTCGGCTTCGCGGAAGGAGGAGGAGATGATAGTCGTGGAGGTGAGCAAATTACGGTATCCAGTTTTCCCAATTTAGGTTTATTGATTAGAAAAGGGGGAAAACTTTCGAAAATGTGAATGAATTTCGATAAACATTCATCTCATATACATTCGATTCAATTTGTGCTATATAATAAAGTCATTATTGCATAAACATAAAGTAAGAGGTTGGTGTAACCATAAATATTAATTTGGGTACCCGATCGGGTCTCGGGTTTGACCCGAACCAATAACCGAATCAAAATTATATGAAAACCAAATGGGTTACTGACAAATTTGAAGACATAACTGAACCGGGTTTTTCAGGTCGGGTTGGTTCCATCAGACTCGGGTTAAACATTTAGGACTAATCCCTATGTAATATTTTAACGGTCTTTGTCGAGATTAACCAAGCGAACTAAATCTAACAAAGACTTCAATTGAGGCACTATAAATTAGTTCTAACTTCCACTTGAAAATCATCTTTGTGTGTTTGCTTTATAAACGCTTATGAACAACAACCACTTAACATTGTTTTTTAAAAACTTTTGATAACAATAATAATTTTTTGGGTGTTTTCGGATTTATAATTCTTTTAACAAAATTTCAAATTGGGTCTAGAGAGAAATTAAATCCAAACAGTGAGGGTTAACACCTCAAAATAACCCAAACTCTAAACCAACTAAACTAAGGTTAAACCGACGGTTAGACCTAAACCTGAACCGAAGACCAAACCAAATCTAACCATAGAAAACTCTAGTTAGTGACAAAATCACCGTCAATTAAAAGCAACATTGTGATGACCTCCGGCGGCACAGAAGACCGCTGCCAGAGACAAAAACGGCATAGGACCACTGCCTTTCTAGAGGAAGGAAAGAGAGGAAGACAAAACCAGACTATCGCCTTGAAGCAGCCACGAAGGACCACCGCCACAACTACCAAAACTACCAGCACCGAGAGAACCAAGCAGACAACACCATCAGACAGAGGAGGGGCTTTACTACTCTAATTCGTAAATTTCTTTACACGCAAGTTAATTTTTTTTTTTATTATAAAACTTTTAGTGGATCTTTTTCTTACATTAACCAAAATAATTTTTAAATATTAATATTTCTTTAATATTTTTTTTTATGAAAAAGAATACTTAATAAAAAACCACAAATAAAACAATAATTCCCTTTATCTTACATAATTACCACAACTTAAGTTTATGTATTGACCAGATCGCGCTACCTTGGGTTTTAGAAATTATAAAAACTACAAATATATTGAAAGAAACCAAATAATCATGTCAAATGATTGAAGCTCGTAAATCAGATTTTCTAACTTTATCCTTTTTCAATTCTTCTTCTCTCACATATGTTAGAAACCAGTTTGACAGCTACGACAATGGCTTCACAATGTCGCCATTCCTCTCATTCTCCAATTTATATCAGCCTTTCTTTCATCTATCAAATCATAGACTCATAGTCATTGGTCTAGATTTAGGTAGTTGACAACTTTTCAATCAGATCTCTAATATCTTATATCTTTAAACATAATAGCTCTGCTTTCAAAAATTTAATACACTTTCAAACATTCATTCATATGTATACAATAATTTGATTAACAAATAATCATTATTTTGATAGTTAACTAAAATTTGGTACACTCTCTCTTTTTCAAAAGTATAAACAATTATTTAATTTTAATAAATAGAAAGCATAATTTTTTTGAATTTTTTACTTTCTCAAGTTTTTGCTTTAAACATTTAAAGCATTAACATTATCGCACATAAACATTAGTCACACTTATATGTATATCTCAAACCTTCAAACTTCACATCATATTTAGATATTTTTTTAATAAGCTATAGAACAGATACGATATAGCAGTAAGACCCAAATACAAAAACTGAAAACATTAAAACCAAACCTAAATACAACTTAAACTCAATAATATTTGGTGTTACTGTAATGGCATATTTTATCGACGCATCTGTCTTTAGCACCAGAGACAAAGCTTCACCACTTTAAAGCTTCAAATTTCAGAAAATTCATCGTCGCAGTATGATTGTAAATCTTTTTCAAACTCTTTCAAGAACCACCATATCTCCTGAATAGATCCATGGTTAGAAAATCCTTCTTCCCCACAAAGTTGCCACCATTCATCAAATATAATGATTTGTCTTCCTCTACCATAAAAGACTTCTTTAACTTCAGAAAAAAAAATTACAATCAATATAAATAGAAAAATTAGAAGATAAAGAATTAGAATTGAAACTTCCCAGTGGATCTAAGCCTAATCAGAAGATTTAGAGAGGGAAAGGAACATAAAAAATAAAATAAAAAGAAAACAAAATTAATTAAATGGAATAAAGTCGGAGAAAATGTCTAATAAGTTGAAGCCGAACAAAAATAGAGATAAATAAAAAAAAACGAAAGCATAAAATCCAAAATATATCTTAATGAGGTTTCTATTTGCTAAACATTTTTTTCTATTTTAAAATTTCTGTTAATATGATTTTTGGATATTGTTAACAAAAAAGATATTTCTTTCTATGTCGATGTGTCGAATTATTTTATGGACTGAGCTCTCTTTCTGTTCTCTTTTAGAAAGAGAGACAATTTCCACTGAGGTCTGATTTTTTTTTTGTGTGTATATTTTCCGCTTAGACAAATTTTTGGTTTTTGCTTAGTCGGAATTTCTATTTTCGCTTTGCCGGATAATTTTGTTGTATTTTGTTATTCTCTAACTCCTTTCACTTTTGTAATCCAATTTCTGTTGGATTTGTGTTTCAAACTTTTCTTCCTCTCTTGGTCATGCTTAGATCTCGCTCTTAAGAGCATAAATACTTACTAAGGAAAGATTTAACATACTCGAATGACGAAAGGTCCGTTTCCTTCTCACATCGAGTCTTCTCTATTTTCTAATACCGATTGTGAAAGGAGTTTTGAAGCATCTACCTTCGGATTTTGCAGAAGGATTTTCTGTGTTTGGGTATCAGAATAGGCGCTTCAGATTTCACGGATTTCATGATGAATCGAAGATCTCTGAGTGTTCCAGTGAAGCTTGACGGTGTTTTTTCAACCGGCAGTGCTTCAGCTCATCTCAGTTCTTTGCATCTACATATGAGATACGTGTTGCAAGTTTATATTTGTTTATCTTCTTACTTATATGTGTTTTGTTGTTAAAATATATCCATACTATTATTTGAGGAACACTTAAATGTTTAAACATAAATTATGTGTTATATTACATGAAATGCAATTGCATCTTAACTTTTTTCTTAGATTTTCATTAATGGTAGTTTAGTCATTTTTTAATACAAGCAACTGATTTTTTTTTTTTATTTAATTCTTATATACCTATTACCAAACACATTAATTTTCAAATATTATTTAGATTAGTTTAACTCCAATTACCAAACATATTTAAATAATTTAAATATTTTCATAAATAATTATTTCTAAAATTTTAATTAATCTTATAATTAATTACATCCAAATTTATATAAAACGAAATGAAATTTATAATTACTATATATGTATAAAATTAATTATAAACATGTATACATGTAAAACATTTAGCAAAAAAAAATATATAACAAAAAAATATTTTTCATATAGACCAAACAAATATGTTTATAAGCAAATAATAATTTATTATTATGCAACAATATAATTGGCCAAACAAATATGTTTATAAGCAAATAACAATTATAATAACTATAAATATATCTAATTAAATTATATACATTTAAACAATATAAAACATATTGCAAAAAATATAACAAAAACAATAATCATATTTTTATTATTATGCAATAATATAATAGACCAGACACATATGTTTGTAGACAAATAAATTAAGACATTATTTTTATGAATAATTATATATTGTTTTAAAATATTTAGAGCAATCTAATATCAATTGAAATTTAGATTGAATTAATTCAAAATTAAAAGCACCATGATTAATTAACACTAAATTACAGTAACCATGAAGTCAAATTCAAATAATATTTAGTTATATCAAATATCTAATTAATTGATTGCACTAAATATTGTGATATTTATTAATGATCACCAAAATTATGGAGCAAACATCCTAAAGAAAAACAAATTTAAAAATTAATTAAAAAATAGTAATTGCATAAATTTAAAGCATATTTAAAAAAACATGGATTTTAGCATATTTTCAAAAACATTTTAAACAATATTGATAATTTTTTTATTGTGGATATAATAAATAACCATATTAATAATAATTAAAATCAGTAAATTAATAAATATTTTCATAACTCACAATCAAGAAAATAAAAAGCATTTATTTACCCTGTTCTTTTCCCTACCGCTGTGGCGGCGGTTGCGGTAAGCAAAAACGATAATAATAATTATGAAACAACAAAGTAAAGGACAACAGCATTAGAATTAATAGTTTCAAATAACTGCTAATGGCAGCCTATGAGTTGCAAAGATAATAGACGCTGATCACTCCAACTGCCGCTGTTTTTTATCAGTGTCATGGATGACATTGATTTTCTGAAGAAAGTGAGCCGCAGCGGCCAAGATGAGGAGAAGTGAAGGCTTTTTTATCGTTATTGATACTGTAATTTTTTAACGCAACCGCTGCGGCGGCGTCATCCCTACGAACAGGGCTATTATAATATGTTTTCAACAAATTATAAGGGAAATAAAAACTATAACTTATGTTATCTTATTGTCTCTATTTTTTTTTGCTAAAATTGTTCTCAATTTAGATTTTTTAAGAGAAATATCTTTCCAAACATTAACATGTTTTAGCTGAAATTAATTTTTTATTATGCTTAATATTTTAATTTCAGTTTATTTATTGTGTATATGGTTGTTATGTTTAATCTTATAGCTTTATATTTATCATTATTTTGTTTGAGAAAGAAGGGGAAGAGGGAGAAGAAGAACAAAAAAGAAGGAGAAGAAGAAAGAGAAGAAGGAGGAAAATAAGGAGAAAGGATGGATGAGAAGAAGTGATGAAGAAGAAGAAGAACAAAGGAGAAGAATTAGAATTGATGAAGAAGAACCACAGAGAAGAAAAAAAAATGCGGAGAAGATGAAGGAAAAAACGGAAAGAAGAACGGAGAATGGATGATGAAGAAGAAGGGACGAAGAAAAAGAGGGGATGAAGGAGAATATCGAATGACATAGAAGAAGGGATGCAGGAGAAGACGAATGAGTATCCAAGTGTTGTTAGCTCGACTAGTAAAGGATCCTAGAAAAAGCTTAGAGGTCACTTGATCGAGTGATGCTTGGGACAAACCTAATATTACATGATGTGGTTTCGGGCCTGGAGAGATTGCAGGCTTCAGTCTAAAACCTCATTGTAATCCAAAAAAAAAAAGAAGGAGAAGAATGGAGAAGAGGAAATGAGAATAAGAAAAACGAATGAGAAAAAGGAGAATGAGAAGAACAAAAATAGATGAAGGAGAAGACGAAGAAGGGATTAAGAAGAAAGAGAATAAGTAGGAGAATAAAGAGAAGGGATGAATGAGAATACAAGTGGATGGAAAAGAATATCAACAGAGAAGAAGAAGGAGAAAAATAAAATAAAAAAAAAGAGGAAAAGGAGAAGAAGGAGAAGTAGTGATGAAGAAGAAAAAGAAACGAAGGAGAAGAAGGGATAATAAGAAGGGATGATGAAGATGAAAAACAAAGGAGAAGTGATGAAGAAGAACAGCAGAGAAGATGAAAAATTAAAGGAAACAAAAACCAAAAACGAAATAGCCCACGCAAAGGAAAAAGAAGGAGAAAATAACAGAAAAAGGGAAAATAGAAAGAAGAAGAACAAAAATATACAACTAACTAATATATAGTCTTATTCATATAACTG